TTTGGCATAATCTTGAACCTAAGTGTTTGATATTCATATTTCGCTTTCTGGGTCAAAACTACTCGAATTTCCTCACTCACGTTGTTACGACTGAATAGACTTTTCAATTCAAACATGCAAAACGGGACGGAAAACATGAAATTTTGCAATAATCTTACGCCACCCTTGCACAAAACGAAAATTTTTCTAATTTCATAGACAACAGAAGACTGTATTTTTTCTACATAACCCCCCCCCTCGCCCCTGGTTTGAAATGCTTTTAAGATAGGTAGCATAAGTTTTCATGCCCTTAGTGGCATTTAGAACATATTTTTATAAGCATTTGCTTATTTATATGCTTATTTCGTCGAAAAATATCAACGCAATTTGCTTAGACGATTGCACTTAAAAAACTACAGCGTTTTCATTGTTGGGATACTGGAAAACTGTTTATATTCGCTGGTTTATTTTTCACTTTCAATGCTGAAGTTATTGTAAATGTTTTGTCGCAAATTCTAATAAGAGAAAATTTTGAATGTTTACGCCGAATCACTATTAACATAATGCTAGAGAATACAAATATTCTGCTTGCAATTGATTTTGCAAGTGCCATCACCAGCGCATTTTTATACAGAAAACTGAATCCTCCAATCCCAATCTCAACCTTCAGTCACACACATTAGAATAATGAAAACTTTAGGACTATGACGCTTTTGATATGGCAAACGAAGTGGACGAAATGGATCAGTTTCTAAAACTCGCCCCCAGCATCACCTCGAACGCTGAAGTGAAACTGGGCAATGGCGACGTCCAGAACGAAGACAAGTCGAAGGAACCGTCTCCCGAAAAAGAGGGAAATGAATTGAATGGCCCCGAGGCGCAAGAGAACGGCGAAGAAGAGGCGCCGAAGGAAAAATCTGCAACTCCGCAAAACGAAAAATCTCCATCGCCTCAAAAGGAAAAATCTCCATCTCCTCAAAAAGAAAAATCTCCATCACCAGCAGGTCAGTTTGATTGACTTAAATAGAATCAGTCTGATTGTTAATTCTATGCAGTTGCTGATGGCGAAGACGTCAAAACGAGTAGAGAAAACAATGCGGATGAAGCTGAAACTGAAGATTAGTCTGAATAATATTTTCAATTATCAAAGTTTATACGATTTTGGTGTTTTTCAAGGACTGCCTTTTTTGCCGAACTGAAAACTGTTTAGATCGATAGGGCTAAATGTGTTCTGGCAGACTTTGCAAATCTATATATACACCTGCTACGAAGATTTTTTAAAGACATATTTTACACATCTATTTATTATCCATTGTTGCTATTTAATTTAAAAAATATATATATCTTAAGAGACATTTCTATAAGTCCATGGCGTTTCTTTGTCGCTTTTGTCACAATTTATTAAAAGAAGCGACTGTATGTGAAAAGTATTATTTGAAGTGGCTGTTGCTTATGGCTTGGTCCTAACTATTTATGTTGCTGATAATCAAAATAGCTATTACAGAATTTATTGTTGGCATTATTTTATGTACGTTAATTCTTGTAATTAAGAAAATATTCATGATCTTCTTAAATTTGCCATTAAATTCATTTTTAATCCTAAGTTTTAGTTACATGTCCATTCCATTTCCTTATAAGAAGTAATGTGAGGAAAGTTTGAACTACGCGATAATTGCTGGTGATGGGAGCAGTTTACATGTTATTTTGTATGCGTGTGTCGCAATGAAAGAGGAAATCAATCAGGCTCTTCTATACTGTACAGTGTGTTTATTTCTTTGTTAAAGTATCAATTCTACGTTAAGCATTCGTTTTGATTTTTTGTCAAATCTTTGGAAATCCATGTGATTTTTTTGCGGATATTTACGGGTCCGTTTGTTCATCCTGATACGTTACAAATGTGACAACTTTATTGGCCCCAAGTGGGTCTTCTTGATTTAACTTCTTTTCAATAAGAGCGTCTTTATAATTGACAAACTGTGAGGTGTTTGGCCTTTTTGCCTCACTCTGGTATTCTCCCATTGCTCTTCTTTTGTTGCTCTGTTGTGATTTGTTCCGTTTCGACGACTCCCCGTCATTGTTTTCCAAAAGAACGTACTCTTGTCCTCCATCTTCTTTTTGGAACAGAGCTACTTGCAGCTTCATTAATGTACATTTGCTGAGCAAGTGTTTAGCAAAAGCGTTGCCCGCGAAACTAGCATAGTCGCACTTCACACACTTGAATGCCCCCTTTACAGTTCGGTCGCAATGTAACACTACATGTTTGTGAAGATCATTCAACCTGGAGGAAAGTGCTTCCGTTAGTTACTGCACGGGGAGAAATCACTAGTTTCTACAAGAACTTACCTTTTAGAGGTGTAGCCGCACTCGCTGCAGTGAAACAAATCGTTTTGCTTCAATCCATGGCAGACTAAATGTTTCTTCAAGTCTCCTTGCCTTTTGGAATAATAATCGCATTGGTCGCATGTGTAAAGAGTGGCTGCCTCAGTATGTAGCACCATGTGTTTGCTCAGGTCTCCTTTTCGCTTGGTTGAATAAGAGCACTTGTCACAGTTATGCATTGGAACTGAAATGAAAAGTTTTCGTTTGATGGGCAGTTTTTGTGTAAAAGAGATGATTTTTTATATTCCGATCAAATTCTACCGGTTCATGAGCTGCTCTCACAGGGTAAAAATATCAATACCAGATGTAGAAATGAATGACTATTTCTAAGGAATTTTTACTTTACGAAAAGCCCTAGCATATCCCTTTTCTGCTACAACTCAGACTACAAAATGATCATAAAAAGGAGATTTTTGTTTTAAACTTTAACACCTTGCAGTTCAGAGATAAACATCATTCGGACAAATGTTCATCTGAACTTTCCTTGTTGAAATGAACCAACTTCCTTGAATATTATTAAGAAACACACTGTACATTCAGTGTTTTACCTGTGCCGACATCACAATGAGTTAACAAATGTTTGGGCATATCGCACTTCCTTCTCGTTGTGTAAGGGCATTCACTGCAAGTGTAAACAGGCAGTTCCACTGGTTCTCGATGATTTTCTACATGTCTGTCCAAGTCCGCTTTCTTCATCGTTTGATAGCCGCAATATGCACAAACAAAAACCTTCTTGTTTGCAAGAGAAGCATATTCATTGAAGTAGGCAGGCAGTTTTTGTTTAGATGGTTTCTAGATGGGATAAATAGTGTTATTAGAGGCTTGTTTCAAATGGGGATTTTGGGTGCTGCTTACAATGCTGTATTTGACTGGAGACTCCTTTGATTGATTGAAGCTACTGTCGCTGACATCGCTTTCACCGTCTGAGTCGAGTTCGTCTTCCAAAAAAGCCTCCTCGTGTATCACGATGTGATCATCAAGGTGGTCGACATCAAGAGTTTGAAAATCGCAGTATTTGCAGGAAAACAGTTCTTGGTCCCCATCTTCGGCAACCTCCTCTTCTTCGACTTGGCTGGAATCTTTTTCATCACTCATTTCCAACAAAGAAGATGAACAGTGGAAAATGTTCGATTCTTCGTCTGTAAAGACCACTCTCGAAACGCTGTAAAACGAAGAACGTCAATGTCAGAGTGTCTCAGGGAGTTTGCAGCTGCTTCAATGTTGCCATACGTTCAAAATATGCAGTTGTTACAAGTAATTACTACGCACTGGTTTGTTTCAATAATTTAATTTATAAATAAATTGCAAAATATTAGTTGATTTATGTTTCCTTAACGCTATCGGAAAGACACGTTTTGCCAAGTCTGTTTGATTAAAATTAATTTGGCATTTAGTTTTTGAACACTTTTTAGACGAAATTGGATAAAAATTATCTATAAATATTTACTAGTAAAATTTAAAGCAATGAAGTTTTTGGATTTAGGATCGTGCATCGAAAATAATTGAATTTTGAAAAGAGACAAATTAAAAAAATATCCTACTTTCCATTGGTTACATCAGAAAATTTCAAACTACCTACTACAAATTTTTGTCACAATTTCTTTTTAATTTTAAATAATTTTAATGTAAATTAAATAAAATAATTTAGTTAGTTGTGAACATTCGTTTTTTCGAATTTTAAAAGTATATGGCTTGCATATGCGTGTAACTTTTGAAAAAATTACACTTTCCAGAGTGTTTTGTGATGTTTTATGCGAATTTAACGAATGCATGATGCTTTTTTTATATCAATAAAATTCGACATTTAAATTCAGGCCAGATCTATGTGATTTTTTCAAGTTAGTTTAGTGATCAATGGCGGATGGAAAACGATCTACGCGATTTGCTCCGTTAATTTTTCGAAAATGACCTTTACATTTTTGTGCGGAAAAGTAGTCTGTCTGGAGAACTAATTTTTACTTTGTCGTTTTTTGCTATTTTTTCAAGCCGTTTTACAAGTTTAGCATAAATGCAAGATATTTTAATTTTAAAACTTTCTGACGTTTTCTGTCAACCTAAAGCCATCACTTTTACATTCGCCTACTAGCAATCAAGACTGAATATTTTTGATGTCTTAAAGTGTACATTTGACGTTTTAAGAACATTTTGGACTTTTTCTTCATGGTTTAATCGGCCTATCGACTGCAGTGATGGGCGAATTGGGTACAGAAATGTGCAGTTTAGTGGTAGGTGCAGATTTTTTAATTTTCAGTTTTTTATTGCTTGAATTTAGCACTAAAGACACTCGAATATTAAAATCAGCAACCGTTTGACTCAAATATGTTGTTTGGACGACCTCAAATGTTCCCTTTAATTATGTCCATTGTACGCAACACCCTGTATAGTTTGTACTTATATTTTCTGTAATTTCATCAACAACTCATTTCTTCCAACCGGGATCAATTATCAATTTAAACAAAACTATTCTTGGATGTTGTATACATATTTTTCTATTTCAATCAAGTCTACAAGCTCTTCTTCACCACAACAGGGAATGTTATAATTGGATAGGATAAAGGCCATGTCGGATATCCGATATTCGTAATAACTTTTTGTTACACAAGCAGCTACAGAATCCGACAGCTTAACTGAACGTTACATTGAAATAATGATTGAGAGTTACATTGAGATGATGAGTGCCAGTGTTCAGCAACGTGATACCACATGGATAAGACAAAGTTTGAAGAGGAAGCAATGAAAATTCGCTGTGAGGCAAGAGTATAAAAAGTTGATAGGGTTTGGGCAGAAAAAAACACGTTGATGAAAACGTGCAAGTATTCATAATTTGTTCAAATATAGCGCACCTTTCTCTCCGTCGTCTATTTATGGATAAATTTAATTAAATGCTTATACAATTGAGCTGGCATTATATCCTACGCTTAAGGAACTTTTAGCTTTGATTACACAGGGTGTTGCTTTTTGAAATTTGATCTTGTATTTTAAGTGTGCTAAATAAGGAGTCTAGTGTAGGTCAGAAACAAGACGCTCAAATTGAGTAAGTAATTTTTAACAGGATGTTCCGAAGTAATGCCGAGATGTTTTGGAAGCTAATTTAGAAATATTTTTTTTAAACATTGCACGTTAAATAGACCAAGACATCTGACCGATTTTAGCTGCGAACCGGAACTAATTCATATTTCGAAAAATATTTTTTTAATTTTAATCAGTTTAATCTTATCACTCAATCTTTCTTCTCAAACATTTTTTAATTTTCGAGGACTATAGCGAAAATAGAGCAGTGAAATTCAAGCGATGATAAATTAGTTAGTATTTTTGCAGTAATTAAAGGGTTTTTCAACTAAAACACTGTTATCAAAAATAAAACGCTTTAATATGGTTTGTATTTGGCTACAATACCTACGTTCATTGGCTTGTCGACTAATCAATTACACAAGTATATAATATAATATAAAAAGTACAAAACATCATTATCAAAAACATGATACGAACTAAATACATCAAAATTAGATCTACGACACAATATTATTATAATATATGTATAGATAATGTAACAGAGTGAGTATGAAGATACCTAAAATAGCATGCGTGGTTTGCTAAATAGCTTCTAAACATAACAAACATGTTTCTATTTCTTGGATGTTACTACCGCGGTATATTTTAAGGTAAAAATATCTAAAACCGAGGTATATAGGTTTTCTTTGGAAGATGCAGCGTTAAGAGCAGGAAATTTGTTATCGTCGAGTGATCATCACCAGAACGAACTGTAAGGCCGCTTTCTATTCAGCTGCAAGAAAATTAGTTTCGGAAAAATTCCAAGCAAACTAACAAAATCTTACATTTGTTGCGCCAGCATTGTTTTCCAGTATATCTCCACTACTGCTGCTGCTGCTGGATAAACGTTCTTCCTCCAAAGTCAGAGCTTTCGACAATCCCTCTAACTCCATTTCTATATAAAGCTGCTGCAGCTGATCATTGACCATCACAGGCTACAATCATGGAAATTTTAGCTATTCATCTAACGTCATAAAAAATGTTCCTGCTTACTTGCTCGATTTGTTTCAGAGCGTTGAGATCCATTTTTAAAATATCATCGATATTCTTCACGGACATCTGGTATCGGTAGATTACATCTGGAGTTAAGGTCATTGATTCCAGCCATGGAGGCTCTCGCTTTCGCAATGGACACACTTGGCGCTGGCTATTTACCATTTCCTTAAATTGGCAATAAGAAACATGTATTTTCGTCCATTCTCGTATTTGGTTGATCACTTACATCGTCAGTGCGGTTGGTGTTGTTGCATGAAGCAGAATCGTCGTTTGATCGGGAACCTGTGTCGGTTTTCAAAAACGAGGAATATGAGGAAGAGTAACAGCTACTCTCCTCCTCCATGCGGTTTGGCCGATAAGAACTCACCAGCTTGTTGGGCCGTAGAATCGGCTCGGGTAGCTGCAATAGAAATATTCATGATTCAACTGGCTTTTTTGTTTCGCAAAATCATGCCGAATTAAGCATTTTTCTTGCTAATTTTGAATATATTTGTTGCGATACGTTGGAGTTCAACATTGCATATAGCCAGTGTTCTAGTAAAGTCCCATTAAAATAGGGAGTTGATACACAAAAGCTTGGATGGTCTTTTGGGCATAAAACATTCGAAATGCAGTGAATAACCGCCAGGATCAGTCAATAGGGCTTTGTAAATAATAATTAATAAAGTAATTAAATAAAAAAGTACACTAATGAAAAACAGTGCTCAGCTCTTTCTGGACAGTTGGAAATTTTATCTAGCGCACACATAAATGGATCACAAAATCACACTCACGCCAATATAGAAAAACATATCGACAAAGCCACACAAAAAAGCAAATTAATCAAGGTTCCGGAACGAAAATAGTTAAACACATAATGAACCACTTAAAGTGACCTTTGCATTTGTCTTAAACGGCTCCGCTTGGATTCCGACATCGGGAGGGCTGATCAGCGGAGAACCTGGAGAACAGATCGATTGCAAACCTAAGTCCTTTCGAGAACATTCCGACAAGGCCTAAAAATTGATCGTTTAATCAATTGAAAAATCAATCTTCGCGCCCAAACAAAGCGCTAATCTTCTAGAGGAAAATCAATTTGCTTACCTTATTTACTACACTAGCTGAGGCAATGGAACCGATCCGGCTGCCAGGTTCCGCTTTAACGGATGTGGCTTGAGATGAAGGCCGATAGCATTGAGGCCCAGATCCGGAAAGGCGCTGGATACCAGCATCAAACTGCTGAGAACCATCTGATGGATGCAGCCTTGAATCTAGATAAGCCGCTCGGTCGTAAGTAGGGTCTATGTTCCTCAAGTGACCCGCTTCTGGTCCCAAAGGCACGTTTTGCAAGGACAAGATAGGAATTGTGGGGCAAAGAATCGGCGGGGGAAATATTCCCGGAGCATAATTGGAGAGCACACCAGCAGGCAAATATTGCACTAAAGGAACAAACTGGCAATTAGTATCACATTTGGAAGCTTTGTTTTGGATATTACCTTGATTTCTTTGGGAAACTTGAGGTCCAGGCGGAACAATGGTTGGTACATAGTAAACGGGCAAAACGCCTTGATTGAGTGCGTCCTTTGCATTGTGAGCCACTGGAACTGGAAAAGGGCTCCACATATTCAACGCGTTCTGAAACAACCTCCAATAAATGTCGGGCATTTTTTTATGGATTCGGGATGCTTACGGTGAGCAAGTCGCTCCTATGGGGATGGCTCGGACTTTCTGCGGAGGAACTCATTTGCGCATTGCTGTAAAAACTGGGTCCAGGATTTTCAAATAGCTCATTGTGCCCATTTTGTTTGAATATTTTACAGCCCTCTCTATCTTCAATCAAATGCCTTCCACTTCGTTTCACTCCTTGATGGTGCTAAAGTGGGAAATCATTCGCGGTTAATTACGCAAAAATTGTCCAAAGTAGATTAAATAGATTTCACGGGAAGAGTTCGAAATCTAACTGATGGTGTTCTGGTGCCTGGTTTATTCTTCAACCTGCACTTTTTTCAATTTGCTACTGTTTGAGGCACCAAATTCATAGCATATTTTTGCGCCTCAAAGACAATTAATCAATTTGGACACCGGGTGTATCAAACGATCAACTTACCTCATTGGCGCTTTCCATAAACATCTCATTGGTGTGTTTTTCCAGCTTCTGATGGCTTTTTTTCGCTTCCCGGTCCTTAAAGTGCGATCGTTCCTTTTTGTGCTTTTGGATCATGATTTTTTCCATATCCTCATTGTGTCTGACCAGCACGGATGCAGTCAATTGTGGCGCTTTGTAGTCGTCGCTTGTCATGTTGGTGCCGCTAGTGATTTCGCTTTCCAGATTCGGAGTGCTGCCTGAACTTAAATTGCCCGCGCTTCCGTATCTGGAGTTTTCGCAGTTTTGGAGTGGCGACAGACATTTTCTTCAAAGGAGAAAGCTAATCGATTAGTATGATGTTCTCAAATCTGTGTCCTTAGATGGAACTTCGTTTTGAGGATGTTTTAAAGACTTACGGATTAATGGGGACGCAATCAGAAACCTCGTCTTCTTTTTTTCGATATATCAGTTCAATCGCATTACTAGCGAACTGATTCTCCCCATAGGTAGCGCTGGTATTTGGGTTACTTTGGAAGAATCTGGTAATGTTTTCGTTGTAATTCAGCTGGTTGTAGCTCGGAGGCGTTTCCGAGGATGATTTGCTGTCGCAGAAATCGTGATGGGGCGAAATTTCTCCCAACATCACCGAATCCCTTTCCTAAAGGTCCTGTTTTTGTGAGAAACTCTCGTATTTTTTTGAGTATTTACCGAAAAGCTCTCGTTGAACTCCTGAGGAACTTCAATTTCCAGCTTAGTCGTACTGATGAAGGATTCCACGAAACTGGCCAAGTTCTTGCAACGTCTGGACACTTCCTGTTTGCATATTTCCACAGGCTTTGGAAGTTCCTGGAAGAAACGCCCATAAAATCAGAAAACTCCCACTCAAAAATTCCATTACGTACCACTGTTAAAAGCTGCAAAATTTCAGCTTGCAATACTTTGCCTTGACTGATTACGTGGCTGGAAATTGCTTTCAGCTCTATATCGGTTGCGAGGTCGAAGACATTCGGGTTTAAAGGTCCCTAGAAACAAATGTTCAGCTCCCAATTGTTGTTTGGCTTAAAAATAATTACCTCTAAAACCTGGTGCAAGCTGATAACACACTCCATTCTCTTGGACCACGGATTAATCACGCTGGACCATTCGGTTTCGATTAAGGCGAAGCATCCATTCTGGACCATAAATCTATAGGGTTTACTTCGGAACACTGAGCCGTTGATTTGGCATGTTTTCATCACTGAAAGCAGATATTCATGGTAAATTTTCCAATGACTTCATCAGTTTACTGGGTGGAGGATGCAAACTCAATCAACAACTGCTTGAAGAACATGGAGAAAAAACAGAAAATGGAGAAAAAAATTAAATAACCAAAAAAATGTGGTATTTGTCGTGGTTTTTTCTCGCTAGACATTATACAGGGTGATAAATGTTAATTAAAACTTCGCAGGAAATACTACTATCATTTTACAATAAAAATCAATCGTTGATTACTTTAAACCATAGGACAAAGGGCGCCTTTCACGCCCAATTCAACCAGTCGTAGACTTTACTTACCGGATTTGTAAACTTCTTTGAGAAAAGGCATATCCTCCGGATGGTAGAAGTCAAAGACTGATTTTCCCAGCATGTCTTGGGGTAAAAATCCGAAATTAGTCACCACGTCCGGATCAACGTAGCTGATTATGCAAGATGCGGTATGGCGCATTCCGAATTTGCTGGACATTTTTCGCTCTTTGGGAACTGGATAATTTATCAACATTAGTTGTTACCAAATAAAACGAGATTCGAGCATTAGTACCTTTGTAGGCGCTTATAACTGGCACGGCAATGATGAAGAGAAACATGCAATTGTTGTGGTCGGCTAATCCAGATTCTGGAGACTCGGTCATTTGCTTGATGGTAACGGTCAGATTAAAAGCCTGGTAGGAAATGGGCTTTTCCAGAAGAGGTACTTCTGAAGATGTGTGGCGCCTGAGACACACATAGAAGCAGTTTCTCACATCTGAAACAGCCGAATTTTAAAACTTCTGCAAGCCAAGTTAAATAAACTATATCTGTTACCTTTTCCATTGGAATCAATTAGAGGCAAGCCCACACTTGTGCTAACTTTCGTGGAAAAAGTATCGCGGTCTTTTGGATGGACAAAGTCAATGAAAGAGTGTCCCAGCCAGGTGTCCTCCGGGAATCCTAGAATGGAAGTGATGCTGGGGGTTGTGTACAAAACCAGGCCATCGTGCATGGAAATTACACAGCAAAAACCATCCTTAAGTAGCAGAAAAGTGGGTAAGCTTAATTGGGTGAGGGAAGGCGTTCTCCTTACATTAACTTCGCATTGGCCAGACGCCAGAAGATCTGCTTTAGGAAAGAATTCGACGATTTGATTTTCCACCGTTTGGGCAACGGGCTCTACATGATCGGCGGAGGAATCTAGGAAGCCTTGATCCTCATGAATAGTGGTTGTTTCTAAGTGGAATAATGTTAAAATTGAGCTCAGAAGTGTACAAAATGTTATGTTCCCCAGCAGATTTTTCGCACATCAGAATGAAAAAAAGGGTGTTTAATATTTTTCCTCTACTATGAAGGTTTGCTTTCAGTACCTCTTATCACATTTTTTGGCCATTTTTGTTGTTAGTTGTAAGACTTACCTTTTTCGTCCTGAGTGTCATGCATATCATCGTCTAAGATTGGCTCTGGTTTCTTACTTCCAAAGTCCACATTTTCTTGAATGCTTAAATCTACATCTGATAAATAGGGCGTGGACTCCACACCTAGTAAATGGCCGGTTTTGATTAACATAGGGCCACGCTGATGCAGGCGAGGGTTTTGATATAAAAAAATCGATTTTATTGAAACATTCTGCATTTTTCAAGTTAAATAATAATTAAATCACCTGATGCTCTAACTCTCCTACATCAAGTTAATAGTAAAAATTAACTTTAATAGAAACCAAAGTAATTAAAGTATATGTAAAATATAAGCAAATATTGGAATTAACAAGCATTCCTTAAAAGATAATAATAATAATTCGTATATAATTGTGTTCAAAAGCCCAAAATAGCCATCAAAGAAATCAGTCAATTCAGTACACAGGGTGCTTTGTAGCATGTGAAAGATGTGATTGGCACTAAAAATTTTCCAAATTTTATTCAAGCTTACAAGGAAACACCCTGTATATTTCAATTCAACGAACAAATGTACTAACGGCCATAACAGCACAGCGAATTTCTTCGAACCTTTTTTGATGCATAATAGTCAAGAAAAATTATGTTTCATCCAATCAAAGAAGGTTCTTTAGAGATTGGCGATAAAGATATAGCGGTTTCTTATAATCGTTTTCCCATAAAGTAAAAGTTACCTTACTCAGGCCAAAAGCCCTTTCTCCACGATCGGTCCTAATTCGCCCTTGTTTTGCCAGCATCAAGCTCATAATTTAAATTCATTCTGATTGTTCTCGAAACAAACAAAATGACTACATCTTTCCAAACAAGTCATATTTAATAGTGGACAAAGCTAATAATATGTTCTTGATGAAGCTGAATTTTCCAGAATATATTACATGAATCGGTTTTAGTCGTTGAGTTTTGAAAGTCTCAATTTTATTAGATTGCGGCATGGAAAAACGGTGGAAACATTCTCGGCAACGGCAGATACGAGATAAACTAGAAGGTGAAGAGCAGCAACTACTTAATGATCCTGAAGAAGTTTATTGCCGACTTCAATGCGAACTGCGACTACACACTGTGATGTAGTCATTTTGCTGTTGACTGTGATCAATGTTTAAAAAATTAAGTTATTGTCAACATTTTGCGATGAACTTATATCTATCGGCGATATTTTGGGTTCATAATCCAAATGGCTCGATTAAACTGTGATTCAGCTGAAAGTATTTGTTTAGTGTGTTAGAATTCAAAAGATCCAGCCAATTTATGCAAATTATGAAGTGTTTATAGTCTGGAGTAGGTGAGAACGTAAGAATAACATAAGCGGATGGTCATTTCAGAGATGCTTACCTAAGCTTGTTCTTGCTGAGGACGTTTCTTCAGTTATGCCGTCCGATAGTGCAGTAACTGGCTGAAGATCGTCCGTTTGAGCGGGAAGTGTTGAAGACGTTTGGCCGGTCTTCTTGTGCTCTTTGCTGGGCTTTGCCGCCTGTAGATGGGAGGACTCATTGCTAAATCCCGAAAATTTGCGTAAGTAATAGTCAGCTGCAATTTGTCTAGATTTAAGTACTTTTCGTTTGGGTTTGCGGTTCCTCCATAGCCGCTGCTCCTGCTCGAATTGCTGCCTCCACTATGCCTAGACTTAGAGCTGGCGCTGCAAGTTCAAAAAGGAAAAATAGAGCTTCTTCCAGAAAAACAATTTTGCGCAAACTTACCTTCCTTGCGAAGTGGTATTGCTGCAACTGTTGGAGTATCCAGAATCGGATATTTTCGTGTTGTTGGTACCAGATTCTGATTCCATTTTGGTTCACGTTCAGTTAGCGGATCTAGAAGCACAAAGGTTGTTTTCCAGGATAATTCGCATTAATTCGTTATTCTTAAGCAACGTGATCCATTAGGCAAATCCCAGAGTCTTATAGAAATACAGGTGCTCAGAGCAAGCGGATATATGGATGCAAAAGACTGGCATAAAAGGGTATTGTTCCGAGTTAATTAAAAATCTAAATTTATCGACAACGTGCAATTGCACAACCAATGTCTGGGTGGGTGGGTAAAAGTGAATTATATAAAGAGCCGGATGCCATTTGGACAAAAGCCTGTAAAGAGATGCGCCCTAAAATAGATGCCCCACAATCGGATTTAACTGAAAATGTCACTTCCATGTAATGTTTTAAATCACCCCTATTAGAGAAATATTTGGCTATTTTTAGAACTGAACAGACAATTGTGTAACGAAAAATGACACCGCAGCTTTTTTGTCCATAATTTATAAGTAGATTATTTATAGCGATGTGATATAACTGAGATGGACATAAAAATGGGGCTTTGTCCACATTATTTTCTTTATTTTAAGGTATTTTTGGCGGCTAGTAGAGTGCCTCCAAAATAAAGATGCTCGCATTTAATTGGCTCTAGTTTCTACCATCCATCCATATGGGTATGGAAATATTTCGTGCTACAAGCAGGAATTCCACTTTTAAAAAAACCGCAATGTCGTCTTTTCTCTAGCAAAGGTTTCATTAAAAGTGGAAATTTATAATTTTGTCTTTAAACGGGCAGTCAAACGTGTAACTGGGGATTAAGAACGTTTAGTTTTAAAGTTCCAATTTAAACTTCGATTTATGATCAAATTGTGGGTTAAACTTCGACATTTTGAGTCTAAATCGAATTTGAACAAACATCGTCGCTCGTTTCTCAATCTCAAAGCATATTTGTAGTTTAAAGTGAATTTTTTGAGTTTTACGTTGCGTTTAAAGGCGAAGTTTGGTAATTTCCAGTTTTAAGTCACTGTATCTTACTTAAAGTTATAGATACTTTATCGGGAGTAGGTTGGAAATTTTCGAGCGTTAAGCAAAAATTTCGAGTGGGACTTTTTGACGAAAATTGTTGACTTAATATGACCAATTTTAGTTTTTAACTTACTTTAAAAGGTACTTCCGTTTGGAAATTTTTCAATCTGGCGGTTTTGAAGCAAAAGATGTACGTTGATCTGAGGGTTACATTTATTAGCCTGAGTCATACGTAACAGTTGGAACCAGATTTTTTTGCTTTCTCACCTCCCCCCTTACGAGTACATTTTTGGCGAATTTCAAAAATGTGACCCATATTGCGTAAAAATCCTTAATTCAATATCAAAAGATTTAAGCTTTCGTGCGCGGTATGGATCTGCGCCGAGCAAGCCACATCTGAAGATGAAAGTCACTCGAGCTTGCGAAACGTCAGGATTAATTAATTTTCCATATTTCCAAGAAACTCATTAGTTTCATTTTGCTTAGTGTTTCGGGGCGTTTTTGCAAACGTAAGCAACATATGATGTGATTTTATACGAAATTTTGTCTTAAAATGAGCATCATGATTATCAGCTTTCAGATGCAGGTCAGTTTTATGTCATTTTTCCGCGTTAATAATTATTGTTTAATTAGTTTAAACATTGTGTGCGATTTGCTCCGGCGTATTTTCGAAAAATTCCACGCTTTTTTCATTTTCCTGAGAAAATCTCACATTTGGCAGACAAACTAAGTTTTCCTTCATTGTTTTGTGATATTTTTCCAATCAGTTGAGTGATTTTCTGACATATTCTGTCAACTTGACCGACTCTTCTTCGCCCACTAGTAATCAAAAGTGAATGTTTTATGTGAATTTATAGAACACTTAATGCTATTTTAAACAAAAATCGATCTAAAACCATGGGTCCAATTCGACATTCAAATATGTATCAGTTTTATATGTGATTTTATCAGGTTAGTTTGGCGCTTAATGACAGACAGGAAACAAGTTGGACGATTTGCTCTGTTAATTTTTCGAAAATAGCCAGATAATTTGCATTTTTGTGCGGAAAAATTGTGTATTTCTGGAAAACTAAAATTTTCCTTCACCGTTTTTCGATATGTATCCAACCGGGTCAGCGATTTTAGCAAGGAAACGCGAAATTTTTAACATTCTGACGTTTGCTGTCAACTTGTGACGGCCACTTTTATGTTATAAAGTGTACATTTTGAGATTTTAAAAACATTTAGGACTGATTTTCATGATTTTATGGGCATAACTTTATGGTTGGAACTGCCGCATTATAACTTAGTGTAAGTGCTATTTTTTCAGTTTTCTGTTCTTCTAACTGCTTAGGATTAAGCACAGGATGCACCCGAATATTACCATCAGAAACTTGTAAGACTAAAATATTAGCACTTCTCTGAATTACCTCAAAAATAAGCGCTTTACATTTGTACATTGGACGCAACAGTCTGTATAGTTTGTACTTGATATAAGTATATTTTCCTATTTCAATTAAGTCCTAGAGAACCCAAGACAGAATATTTTTACTGGACATGATAAAAAATGCTAAGTAGGAAATCCGATAGTCGTTATAAATCTCTATTACACAACCAGCTTCAGGATTCGACAGCTTATCGGAAGGTTAAATTGCCGTAATGATCAAGCGCCAGTGTGCAGCAACGTGATACCACCATAAGCCTTGTTCTATGGATACGACATTGATTGCTCATTAGCTTCTCATCCCTTCAGCCAATTAGAAATGTACAAATGTAAAAAAACGATTAAACAAAGTTTGAAGGTGAAAAAACGAACATCAATTAACAGAGAAAACACGTTGATGAGTTTCAAATACAGTCGACTGTATCTCGCTCTTCGGTCTGCGATATCTGGATAAAGTTAATTCAACCCGTATGCAGTAGAGTTGGCGTTAGATCGCTTGCTTAAGAAAATGTTGCTTTGATGCTAGGAAGCCCATTTGATTTTTCAACATAAAAATTAAGTAAACCAAAAGGCACAATTTCGTCTTTTGTAAAATCATGAAATATTGCCAAAAAAACATCTTTAGAGTTCTCTCTTCAAGGCGTTTCCGCCTAGGTATATCAATATCGAGATATTTTAGCAGACAGAACAAGAAAAAAATAATTAAACCGCCCCAATCCGGAGAATCGATGGAACTATTCGTTGGGGGTCTCAATTAAGAAATAAGAACGAGTTTGTAGAAAAATATTTTTAAAATTGCGCCGTATTGGACTCCGTTTGCCTCCATTTGAAAATGTTATCCAATTTATCGAAACATACTATACAGACGTTTATTTAAACTTTAGCGCATTTCAGGGTGATGCTTAATTAGATTGAACAGTGCGCGCTTTCTATATACATTTTCTACTTAAAGCAGTTGAACCGAAAACGTCTTCTAGAATTTTCAAAGTTCATTTTGAAAACAGTTGATTATTTTTTCTTTAAATTTTATAATGTATATTGTTTCAAGTCAAATTATTAAGCCGCATATCAGATGAGAACCAAATCATTTAACTTACCTCTACGTAGATATATTTGACCACTTAAAGTTTCATATTAGAAATTCAGTAAAAATACACGTCTTTTCAATTGCTCGGTTAGCTTAATACTAACAGGATGTAGTCCCGAAACAATAATACGAAGTGTACGGAGATGAAGGGCACAAGGGGGCTCACGCTGTTTGCAACGTGACTTTTGTGTTTCTTCGCCGCACGAAAATCGCATGGTTATTTTAGGCGTTTATAGGACACAGGTTCAAAGGGGGTAGTTTGTGTCGATAACAGGAACTAAAAATAAATTAGATGAATTTGCTGCTCTCTCTGCAAATTTAATACATAAAAATATTACGAAATAAAATAAATAATAAAACTGTCTTTTGATGCCCTCTCACAGCTTTGATGCACTTCAATATTGTGTCTATTTGCTAAACCTTGCCTAATTAGGTGTTTCTTTTGAAAAAGAGCAGCTTTCTGCCCCATTTTGTCAATCCACTCTCTCCAACCTTCTCCAAGCCACATTTATCAACAATAAACGTCTCTATTTCACTTTCTACGTTATTTCTAAGTTGCAGTGCTTTGAAGTTGGGAAACTCAGCCTTGCCCAGCTTGAGCCTCTTGACAGCCGTTCTGTAGCATTTCCAGGGCTGAGGTTCTATGACCAGAAAGTCTGAAAGACTGGCAACTTTTGCCAGAAATTTCCTCAATCCATCATCGCCATGATTCAAGTGAATCCACATAGTTATGGAAAAACAGAAGACTATGTCAAACCTAGTGCGATTGCGGGGCTTTAGGAAGTCTGTGAAAATATCCCCGGTGTCTGACATGATGTCGAGACACTTAAATGTAAGGTTTCTTGGGGATTGCTTCTCACACGCCCTTCGAATTAAAACTGGGTCAACGTCCACGCCTAATATGGAAATGGGGGTATCCACAACGTTCGTGAGGAAATCCTTGAGTGCAACTGTGAGATCCTAGAAATAATTGACACTATAACTAAGTAATTGTTACAGTTAGCAAAGTGCTTACCCCTGAGTTGCATCCAACGTCTAAAGCGCAGCCCCTGTCCGCTTTGAAGGCAGAACTCCATATTTCAGGGGCCAACATGGAAATCCGCTCATCTGGAGGGTGGAACTGATAGTAATTGATGAAATTGCCAAACTTTGATGCTCCAGGGTTTCCACACTTAAATTCCAGCTCGTTCATATCAATTTAAAAAATAAAACACTGTTAAAAAACTGAAAATTAAAATAACAAAACATGGGTAGGTTATGGTTATGTTTTCCAGCTGTGATTTGTAAACAATCCTGGATTGACGTCTCGCGCCCATTTATGATTGCCAACGTGATGATTATCCATGAAATTTTGTGGTGTTTTTGCTTGTTTTATTCAAGATTGAAAGTAAAACATTCATTGTTGGTCGGAGCATCTGAGATTTAGTTGTTGGGAGCCGGCATTTCCCGGAAAATTTCATTTTTAACCCACTTGAATGGGCTTGGTAGACATGGCAATGCTGTGTTGTTAATTGATTATTTTGTCAGTCAGCGAAAGGGGTTATTTTTTTGTTATTGTTGAACAGTTTTGTTCAATTTAATAGTTAGCTAAATACCAAGTAAAAATGAAGAAAAAGGTAATTATTGATCAAATTTGATATAAACTTTTAGCATTTAGCAATCGAGGCATATGTGAGCCTTGGAGGAAGTTTGAAACAAAACTCTTAGTGATTATCTACCCTTCTAACGTATTCCAGGTATTACTAATGGGAAAAAGTGGATCTGGAAAGACCAGCATGAGGTCCATAATATTCGCTAATTATATTGCCAGAGATACGAGGCGTTTAGGAGCTACAAGTATGTACCAGTAGTATTCCGTAACATGATGTAAAAAAACGCGCAACAACTGATTCAAACACTAAGGAAGGATTCTGGCTATTAGCTGAATAATGGGCCATGAAAACTAGTTAAATCCCGAAAAACAAACATGTTTGTCTAATGGATCTAGTAATAGTTGTCTTGGGTCTTACATAATAATCTAATTTATTAATTACTTTTGTCAACAATATCGATTGCTGGATTGGTTCTCCCTAAAGGCAAATTTGGGTTGATTATTAAGCATTCTAACAATCGGACCACGGAATTATCTTACCTAATATCGATTAGAAGTCTCTAAGATCCGCTAGCGACAACTATTACACTAATCAAGAAAAATTGACTGGTTTTTTTTCTACTAGGATTTAAATAATCGATCTATTGTGTTGATTTGTAGTTGATGTTGAGCACTCCCATGTAAGATTCCTTGGAAATCTAGTCCTCAATCTCTGGGACTGTGGAGGACAAGAGGCGTTCATGGAAAACTATTTCGCCTCGCAACGCGATAACATTTTCAGGAATGTAGAGGTGCTTATTTATGTTTTTGATGTTGAAAGTAGAGAACTTGAGAAGGATTATCACTACTACCAGTCCTGCTTGGAAGCGATCCTGCAGAATTCCCGAGAAGCGAAAATATTCTGTTTGATCCACAAGATGGATTTGGTTGCCGAGGACCAAAGAGACATTATTTTCAAAGAGCGCGAAGCCGATTTGATCAGGCTGTCAAAGCCGTTGGATTGTACGTGTTTTCGAACGTCGATTTGGGACGAAACCCTTTACCGAGCTTGGTCTAGTATAGTTTACATGCTAATACCTAACGTTAAAGAACTAGAAACTAGCCTTCAACAGTTCGCCAATATAGTGGATGCTGATGAAGTCCTCCTGTTTGAAAGAGCGACATTTTTAGTCATTTCACATTGCCAAAGAAAGGAGCATCGTGATGTTCATCGGTTTGAGAAAGTTTCCAATATTATTAAGCAATTCAAATTATCCTGTTCCAAATTAGCGGCCCAATTCCAAAGCATGGAGGTGCGTAATGCCCTTTTTGCGGCCTACATCGACATGTTCACCAGTAACACATACGTAATGGTGTGCATGTCCGATCCGCAAATTCCTTCTGAGGTTACGCTGATCAATATTAGAAATGCGCGAAAACACTTCGAGCTGTTAGAAAAAGTCTCAAACTCTTCCATGGGTCGTTAAGTTTTGCTTGCTTTTTGTCTGTTTCATGTACTATATTTTAACAAACTGTACATATTAATATATAAATCCACTACTAGGCACATATCGAAGAATCCGGGTGTTAATTTTATTCAACTGGATTTCGCAAGTGCAATGGCCTGGTTAAACACAACTTCATTTCAAGAATAAAAATATTGCTGTTTGCTTCTAAACTGGCACATTTAATGACGGTTTGAAGTTCTATCGTAATAATTAATAACTTGTAGCATTTGTGAAAAAAATTAATTGGATCGTTGTGTATAGACAATTCAGATATTTTAATAAATTTCCTAAAAAACTGAACCCGTTTTAACTCCAATAAATACCTAGTAGTGCAACTAGACGAGTGTAACTTGTTTTCGCGACAAGGCCACCGAAATCATAAAATTGATTAATTCAAGACGCATAGCGCTTCCCAATGAGCAGCACGATGTTTAATTAATAGCCACTTTCTTATTGACTGAACAATCAGAGAGATAAGATAAACTTCGGAACCAATTCCCCAATCAGTCGGTGTGAGTATTCCTTTCTAACATGGCTTTCAAATGCAATTACTGGAGCTCTTATCGGGTTCTAACAGTGGTGGAAAATGTGCGTTGGTATCAAGGCCTTGACCACTTTCGGAATTCAACCGGAGGTCACAAGTTCGGTTATTTACCAGAAAATCAAAGTTCGCCGGTGAATTGGAAATGGATAAACTGCTGAAGGGCATTATGAAGTACAGATCTACAGTAAAGGATACCATGGTGCAACAGTTCGTCAAAGTTAAGGATAATCCAACGGTAAGTGTTTTGGAGCAGAAGTGGGGAAAAGGCGCAATTTTTTTAATGTTTTGGGTTTATGATTATATTTTTGGGCCAATTTGTTGAATGTTTCAGCCCAAAGCTGTATTCTTCACTTGTATAGACAGTAGAATGCTGCCGACTAGATTCACGCAAACTAATGTTGGAGACATGTTTATAAGTAATTTTCGTCTCAATCTAGCAGCAGTATGATTTTTTGGGGAATTTTCAGTTAGAAATGCCGGTAATTTGGTGCCACACTCTCAACGATTTCGTGATGAACAAGACACTAATGAGCCTGCCGCTCTTGAATTGGGTTGCGTTATGAACGACATCAGGCACATTATCGTCTGCGGGCATAGCGATTGTAAAGCCATTAATCTGCTGTATAAACTCAGAGATCCAGAATTTGCATCCAAGGTAAAGTGCTCTCTAGCTTTCAGTTCGGAAAACCGCAGTTGTGTTGTAGGAAAACCGAAGGCTGTCGCCACTAAGGTCTTGGCTTTGCACTCATGCTCAATCCAGCATTGACACATTCAATGAGCTGGAAAAGCACAACTACGATAAGCCGTTGCTCTTCCAGGGTGAGACTCCGCTTAGGAAATTCGCAGCATACATTGATCCAGAAAAAAAGTTCAGTATAGAAGACCGACTGTCGCAAATCAATACCCTGCAACAGTTGCAGAATATCGCCAGTTATGGGTTTCTGAAGAAGCGACTGGAACGGAACCAATTGCACATTCATGCCTTGTGGTTCGATATTTATACCGGCGAGATTTACTATTTCAGCAGGGGTGCGAAGCGATTTGTTATTATTGATGAGAGCAATTTCGAGAAACTAACCGAGGAAGTCGTTTTGTATTATTCTTAACAAGGGGTTTTTTGCCAAAATGAGCCAATGATCTAGTCGGAAAGATTCGAAACACACACACAAACACATATACCAGGACAGTCCCCAATAAATGCTTTTGTATGTTTTAAATATATCTCAATTAATAAAAGAACTCAATCCACACCTTTCTCTCCTTCTAGTTACAGGTTCGTCAAAATCATTGTGTCAAATTTACATTTCCAACCGCTAATTGTTTATTTGCAAGTTGTTCAAATATTCAACAATATCCACTTCTTCTGTGACCCTATTTTTGCGGAAGAACTGATTAATAGCCTCAGTTCCTCTCTTTAAGCTATCTTTGATGTGCTGTTCGCTCACTTCCATGTTGCTGCATATAAACACCTCATTCAGGTCTTCCACAAGCTTGTACGAAAGTACTTTTTTGAATGCGTGGTTCAGGGTTGCGACAATTCCGCCACGCAACGATTGATCCCTTAGGACAATATTTACGATGAAAACTCCTGGAAAAAATGACGAAAATGTACGTTTCTAATGACTGTTAGGGTTTCAGTTTACCTTTGCTAGCGATTGCTTTGGAGACACTTTCCAATATTTGCGAGCTTAAGAATTCTTCTGGAGGGCAGCTCATTCCAACGTCCGAAGTTTTGCTGTCCACATCGCACAAAAGGGCATCCACTTGCTTACCTGCAGTTGATCCGTTAGCAGTGGGCAATTGGGATTCAAATTCACTTACCTTGTTTCTGCAAGTTCCTGATAAAGTCCAACCCATCCTGGATGGTCGCTTTAAGCTTGTCGTCGGGAGCAAAACCGAACCATTCGGTGGCAATTTTCAGCATCTCCGGATCGATTTCGATCGCAGTAATTGTGCAATTTGGCAGGAATTTATGCAAAAATGAGCACAAGCCTCCGCCACCCAAGCCCAAAACCACCACGTCGCCTTTGTCTTTTACAGTCAGGCAGGTTGCGATGCTCATATAGACGTGATGCTGGCATGTTAAAGTCAACAGATCCAAAACGTCTTTTTTCTTCCGTCCTCGGGTTGTTATTGTTTTGATTTTGGCTTCAGATTGAATAACCAGCTGGGAGCTGAGATAGAATAGTCTTCGGAACTTTTGGCCATCGTCGTGTTCCACGTCTTCTACAATGTAGTCGCCTGAAAGTGGTGAAGAGCCTTCGTGTCTCACTGTGCGCTTTCCTAGATCAGTGCATAATGAGAGGCAGGGAATCTAAAAGTTTGTTTTAAATATGGGTTCAATGAGTGTTAGTTTTCGTGAGTGTCGCTAACCTTGCTATTTCCTATAGTTGATGGGGCCAGATTTTGAATAATGTATTCCAATTCTAGTTGAACAGCATTCAGAGATTCGTACTTTTGCCCTCTGTGCATGCTCACAATCGCCAGTCGATTGTGGTTGGTCATTGACGCCAAATTATTTCGCCCGCTTTCTGTAGAAAACAGCCATTCAGCTTCTCTGGAAATTTGAGCACGTTATCATTCCACCTTGAAAGTATTTCAATTAAGTACCTTCCCTCAGGTACAACAAACACTGCAAAGGCTCCGTTCTTTGGCAGAGGTGGGATTTCCACAATGTGAATGGTGTATCTTGGCTGATTCTGATCGGCTTGATCATACACCATCATCTCAATTTGATCTTTGTCCCCGATTCTGGTTTTTTGCAAGGAAGAACAAACAAACGCAGCTCGTTGAGCTCTAACAATTTGCTGTTGCACTTCTTCACAGGATTGGCATCTGAACATTTTATCTTCTCTGCATAGGTTGACTTCCAAAATCTACTCAACATATTTTGTTAGAAGAAATTGATGGTTGTTTTTCGTTGGCTTTACCTGTCGAGGTAGAGATTTGAATTTGGTGCAAACTACCATAAAGATCGGCATGCTGCTCTCGCCGTTTTCTTGGGCCTTTTGCTCCGGCTCGAAACAGCGCACCGCGCGAAACATCCAGTGGTTTTTCGGGAAAAAATCCAACAACTGTTGCAAGACATAGTCTTGCAATAGGGATATGCAAACGTATCGTCCGTTATTTTTGGTTATTCTTTGGATCTCCTCAAAGTACTGCTTGATTATTTTCACAGATTCCTCTGAGTCATCGGGCATCAACGCGTCTATTGTTGCTTTATCAATGATTACGCTAAATTCTTCATTCTTAAACGAAGTGTTTAATACGTCCATTTCGATGTACTGTAAACCAGGTCGGTCCTTGTCGGTTTGCTGTTGCATTTGCTTGATTACCAGTTTGGATAAATCAATGTTGATGACTTTACTGCAAATATTCAATGGTTATTTCAGCGATTTTTCTAGCTTGATTTATGATTAAATGTGTTTAATATTGACGAATAGTGGATATTTAATTCCTCACCTACATCCCACATCATATAAGTCTCTGCCTAATGTGGAATTGCCGCAACCCGCTATCAAAATATTGTCCTGTGTTTTCACGTATTTGTGCAAGTGATTGGATAATTCTGGATATTCTCCATACCTAAATGAAAAGACACAAAAGATGTTTGACTCGAATTGGTTTCTTTACATAATATGAATGTCTAGTTTATTGATATCACTTTCTTGAGCCAGTTGTAGTGTCATTCATAATGTATTAACAATTTCATGTGTATTTCTTGATAATTAAAGCCGTGTGTAATTGATAGGTAAAATTGGATCAACTTCAAACAAAAGTAAATGTTTTGGTCTTTGAAAGCAACACGTGCAAGCTACGCAAACGGTTTTATTGAATTTCCTATTTGGAAACAGCCGCAAACCCAATTATATGAATCTGCAGACTTTAAACAGCTAAATTCTATGAAAATTGCGGGCAAATCAACACAAAGCATACCATTCAAACGATTTGTTACCACGCTTCTTAAAAAAAGCGTCCCAATAATCCTTGTCGCTGAACTGATTTCGGGTCCTTGGCAGCAAATTCATTTCTCTTAAAAATCCTAAAACGTTCCCGCACTAAAGATGTTTTTTAATAAACTAAAACACAAAACTGTCTTGATTTTACATTACATTGTTATTTAATTTTTTTTAGGTTAACCCTCGTTAGCTCGTCTTTGTCTATCAGTTAAGTTTTCCGCATGTCGCTTTGCGAGCAAAGCTGAAGAAAGCCTCCTTACTTCAGAGGTTGTTTGGTTGCATAAGCAAGTGGGCAACCCGTTTAACAACCCGCTGCTTGGTAAGCGTCAAACACAGAACAACAGAGGGGATATTTTGTGGCGTCAAACTCAGCTGATTCAATGTTTATTTGGAATATTGTAGTTCTTTTTAATTAAATATCTATTTTAAATATGTATAGAATAGAGGATGGAATTTTTTAAGAAAAAAAAGCACCGCGAAAATATCGTATTACGCCTGATCAATAGGGAAACGTTCGGATGCCAAAGAGCAGGCACCCAGATCCACCGGCAGTTTTACCAAAATGTGTTTCCCAATTTTACGGTGATCAACGTGGAGAAGCCCCCTTGCTTTATCAGGAAATTTACGCCAGATGGAAAGCATGCCATTGCCTTTTCATCGGACCAATCCTCCTTGGAAGTGTATACGTATCAGGGCCCAGCTGCTGTCGCCGACCTGTTGCAGAAAGTTGGAAACTTGGAGAATTTGGATAAGAAGGTTCAGGAGGATATAAAGAGGAATATTTTCGGGCGATTTTTTAAGGTAGCTTGTACCAACTGGCTAAGGGAGTTTGGAAGACGGAATTGGAATTTTTCAGTTAAAACACTTTATTAATATTACCGCCACTGAGCACCTCAACCGGGAATGTAGCCTATTTGTCGATGAGGGCCGCTATGCGATTATTGGATCGGCCTGTTTCATTCCAGAAGAAATTCGGCCACATTTTTACGAAATATATACCAATAATGAAGCCATTACACCCACAGCCAGGTACGCAACTGATAATAACACTTCTCTAACTCTCTAGACATTCCTTATGGTGCTTTCCAGGACACCATTAGAAGAGTACACGCTACACCTAGTGGACATTCACTTGGGTAAACTTTGCGATACCCGGCACTTTAAGGTGGATAAAATATTCCTATCACACAACCAAGGCTTGTATTTGTATAAGGACACACTGGCTGTTCTATCAGTTCAACACCAGGTGATCCATATTTTTCAAATTATCGACGGAATGTTCGTGGACGTGAAGCAGATTGGTAGATTTTGCTACGAAGATGATTTGTACTTATACAACTTGGTCTACCCGTCTGAAAGAGCGTTTAAAGATGTGTGTATTAACTCGCTAAAGCACCGACTATTGACGTTTTTATATAAAAGGGCGGCAGCAATAAGCGCCCGGTCCGGCAACCCGACTGAACTGAGAAAGTTCTATCATTATTTTGACAATTTTAAATCATTGAAAATGTGGAAGATGCAGCTCCTAGACGAAAATCACATCTTGATAAAATACGCCAGCGAAGATGTCGTCACGTTGAGGCAGGCGGATGCCAACATCAGTGAACCCCAATTCTTCGCAGTGTATAATATAATGGAAAGCCGCGTTTTAGCGGTATATGAAAACAGCTCTTCTGAGCTGCTTAGTCTGTATGAGGACTTTGGTGATCATTTTCGGAATGCTTGTCTGCACCGGCCAATTCAATTCACTTGCAGTCCCTCCAATAATTTATATGCTCGGCTGCACCACTTCAGGTAGGCTCGCATTCAATATTTCAGACTCAGCTGCTAATGCCAGTAATCATTTCCAGGTACAAGCATACTATCACATTTGCCAAGTTTGGAGGACAAGTGGAAGCAGTTAAGCGGATTTTAGCCCATTTGCCAATCAGCGCACAGTCTTACACAGTGTCTCCGTATTTGGACTATTCTCTCTTCAGTTATGATGATAAGTGGATTTCCGTAATAGAGAGGCCTAAGCAGTTTGGAGAGCATCCTATTAGGTAAGCAGCCTGTAATAAGTATTCCACTGTTGAAGTTGGTGATTACTGCGAACCGCGCTTACCATTCCGTCCATCCTTAACTTAAAAGCACTTGAGACAACGTCTTTCTTTCAGATTCAATGCCCGACAGTCTGGATATTTAAAATTCCGCCTATACGTGGATAATCAGCGGCATTTGCCATCTTCTGCAAGGCGCCTGGTTGCTTTCACGTTTCATCCTACAGACCCTTTTGCTGTATCCGTGCAAAGAACTAATAATGCTGAATACATTGTTAATTTCCACGTGAGATATGATAACCAAAATCCGGACTACAATTCTTATGACGCTAACCAATACAACTGTATGTAAAAAGGTGAGTCGAAGTCCATCTAGTTGTTGGAAACCAGATCTATATTTTTAGGAAAACTCTTTTATTTCATTGCTCTTCTATTTCGAGTATATTCGAACATCTAGTAATATGTAAAAACATATTACTATTTTAGATAACGTATTTTTTGAATACTGTGATATAACTGTGTATGGAAGTCAATTAAAGATGAGATTTTTGTAAATAACTATAATGTGGTCAAACAATAACGTGCTTAGTATTACGTTTCTTGATAATATCGAACACTTCGTGCAATAAAGACTGTGCTTTATGAAAATACTGACTTTTATTTACATGATCACAGCTTAAGAATTCCCCTAGCACTTTGCAGATTTGATTCAAATCAAACACTGCGTGGTTAATACCAATAATGTGGCCATGGTACAGGCCTGTTTTGTTGCCGGTTTTCAGTACATTTAAACGGCGATTAGCAATGAATTCTAAAAACGTATAAAATTTGTTGTAGTTGATTCCAAACAGTGCGTCCAGCATAGTTTGGCAATGTTCCTCAAAGTTGTCCATTCCCTTGCAATCGTCAATTTCCCTTTTAGTAGCTTCTAAGCTATTTTTCAGACACGACCACATGCTGTAGATATTACAGCCATTCACCCAATTGTGATTAATGGATATGGTGTCTTTCAAGTTCCAAACTTGGTGGTACCAGCCGGAAGGAACAAAAATGGCATCTCCAGCATTCTGAATAACTTCAAAGCATTTCCTGGACTTAGGGATTTCCTTGATGTCATAAGGGATGTTGTTCAAAGAGTCCCTCAATAGCAGCTCTTCCCCAGGCGGAAAGAAAATCCATCTTTTCTGTCCGCAAACATTCACAGACCAGCTGAATGAGTTGAAAACATCTGCATGCAGTGGGGTCCTAAAAACAACGCGGTTTCTAATTAAGTTGAGAGTCAATGAAGAAAGCGGTTTGACTAGTACCAGCTGCTTTTTTGGCCCATATAGACAAATCTGTAATCATCGTCAGTGCATTCAGTGAAATACTCGTTCAGCCAGTCAGAAGCAAAGTAAACGGGCACTTGGTAAAAGTTATCTGTTTTGCATTGTAACTTCAGATGCCAGTCCTTGAGATAGTAAATATCCTCAGTCGGGTTTCGTATTAGTGCCAAGTACTCGTCAAGAGTGCTTTCTCTGCATTTTTGTGAATTAAAGTACTTTTGCGAACAGTTGTAAATTATAACTTTCGTATGGCCGTACTTGGTATTCAGATGTTGCCACTGGGGCTGATCTTCATTGACCCACTTATTCGTTGCCTGCCAGTCTCTGGCAACGTTTTTAATTATACAAGGAAGGTTTTTCACCATGAATTGCTCAAAGAAGTCTTGGTAGGACAGATTTTCCTGTTGAAGCACTGGTACGGTTAGACACTCATTTTGAATGATTTCTTTTTGTGCCAGCGTAGGTGAAATTTCGAATTCCATCAATGAAATCAGCTGTATTAACGGCCTTTTCCTATAAAGCTATTTTCTAAAACTAAAATTGGAAAGTAAACATAAACTCGTCAAAAAAGTTTGGTTATAGTATTTTCTTCTTTTAGCACAGTAAATCAATCTAATGTTCCGTTCAGTTTGTATCTGCACAAATCCCTTGTTTGTGCAGTTACAACCTGTAGACCTTTTTGTGCGTGAGTACTTAAATCAATAATTGTAGAAGAAACATATGATTTAACTAATTTTTTTAATCAGGTTAATTAAGAATAATTCTAGTAGCAGGTGCCAGGGATAAATTATATGAAGAAGAGCTGTCAAAAAAACTTTAAACTGACGTCAGTTTTATTATTTTTTTCTACTTCTTCGCTGATTTCGCAAAAGAAAAAGCGTAGTGGTGCAAGCAGGCCCGATATTGCGTTCAACAATGGTCACAGGGTGGAATAGGCGTTTAATCGTGTTAAAAGTCGTCTAATAAGCCAGTGATAAGTGATAGTTTTAACCAAGTGCCAGTGTTCTAACATGAATGGATCCAGAATCCTGCCGCATTTTTTGTATATTACGCTTTTCCTGTGCGGGTAAGGCATTTGCCACAATTTCTTTGTCTCTCCTGTATCAACGAAGATTTCCTTCTTTACAGGGGGGTCCAAGTAACTGGAGTTGTCTCAGACTCTAATGGAGAAGAGGAAGCAACCTTGGACAGTCAACCCACGGAATTTCTTCCTAGTAACACTTCCGATAATGCAAAAGCGGAAGCGAATATTAATCCAGGCGAGGACAACCTAGTTCCAGATACACCTCCACATGCAGATGTGCTGGATATTGATAATGTGAACGTTTTGGAACATGTGTCTGAAGATGCGTTCTCTCAGGTGGGCTCAGAGGATGCAAATGTTAATGAGTAAGTACACGTTTTATTGCAACTTCAATGAGCCCAAAACGGCTGCAAACGTGCTCGCAATTGTTTAGGTTTTGCTTGAATGCTTGGCCCCATCTGGACTGTTAGTCATTTGTATGTCGGTTGTAATAATAAATAGCCCCTAATGGGCTCAGACCTCTCCAGTCAACCAAAACATTTCTCACATTCTATAAACATACTTGACTAAAAGCATTTAAGGTTTTGCTGATATTGCTCTGAATTCAGATTTTTGCAACTTGTTAAAATTGGGTCCAAAAATATTGTCTTCGATCTTCCTGAAAAACTCCTAAATTTTAATCTGAAGCAAACAGCATCTTGATTTTTGCACACTGCATAGAAAACATTTGACTGGTGCAGCACTGGTGTTTTTCCTGGAATCGCACAGAACTTTCTTTCCAATTAACTGAACCATTGATTTTTTTATACTTATTACTCAATTTAGTTACATTTGATGCTGTTGCACGTGCAGGTAATTAGAGTAGGGAAAGATGTAAAAATACGCAGGTTTAAAGGTCGAATATTTTTGTGGCATTTTCCAAGCACCAACAAATCAACAAGTTGAAAATGCCACGACAGAAATATCCTTATTACAAAGCTTTTCGCTGCTAATTTCAATTGTTAGCGCCATGAGGCTGCATAATGGTTTCCTTGCTGTTAAGCACTTGTATAAATATGTGACGCAAATGCGTGTTAATTCCAAAAACAATTCTAGAATAAACGGCATATTTACATAAATCGGTTTATTGATATCAGAATTATTTGTCAAATAGCCTGAGAGGTTGGAGAACTTGGAAATTTGCATGCTATTCTAAGGTTATTAGTGTCTGCGACACGATTTGGCTCCAATTTGGCGCGATCATGGAATCGTCGAGAATTTTTGATAAGCAAATTATGCGCATTTTTATCATGCCAAGGTTTCTATGTATCAGGTTTTTTCACGTAGAAAGTAGTACCTATTAAGGTGCAGACTAGAGATATCATTTTTTTGCGGATCAATCAAGTATCAAGATAGAAAACAACTTGACAATGATTGAAAATCGTGAAAAACACTTTGGCCATTGAACTTCATGCACACTCAAATCATAGAACAAGGCTTATCTCCCTGACTCAAATGGATTCACGATTAATCGGGTTTTAAATGTAATGGCGCCAGTTATTTATGCTAAGTGATATGGTAAAGGCGGCGCACGTAAATCAAATGGTTCAGTGCCATCAATCATAAATAAATGAATGAAGATAAAACGGATGCATTATTTCTATGAGCTAAACTCACACTATGGTTTAAATTTCAACCAATAGTTATACATGTTAATAATATGTTTGTCGTTATCATTAGAGGGAAAATTAAATAGAGTAGAACTAGATATTAAAGCCAAAGGATCAGCTTGTACCTAATTGCATTTTTTGTCTGCCTGGTTTGATTGATTTGATGTTTATAAACACTCTGCTGTTACAACTCATTCAATTTTACTCGTATCTTATCGATCCATTGTTACCTAATGGACTAATAAAAAAATAAATCTAAAGAATTTGAAACTTAATTTCCTCGAATAGTCTCCTCTTCAGTCTTAATATCAGATTATGATTGTTTGGATCCGTTGTTTTATCATCCAAATCCATTTACCAAAGCAAAAGCAATTAGGAGATTAATAAATTACCGTTATCAATCAGAGCCATTCAACCATGTAAACCAAGATTAGAATTTATAAAAGAGCCAAAATAGAGCCGATTGGATAACAGGACTTGTCTATTTTTAAGCGGAAGGTTTTATGCGCCAGCAACCTTGGGGATTACGACACTCGTGCGGTGACCTTTCAATTGTAAATATTTAAAATAAGAAATATTTGTCTGGCATTGTCCTTGTCATACCGAATGAATAATGACCCGCATCGGACCCGAATGTGCTGCTAATATCAGCAAATTTATATTTGCATCAATAACTATCTACGTGTTTACTATTATTTCACTAATTTGCTAAATTAAATTTTCTCTTCCAGACTGATTAACAACGACACTCCCGTTGTAATCTCGCGAATCGATTCTGCAACCGAAGAGCTACAGAAGAGAGCCCATATTCTCTCACCATTGCCCAGCGAGGAAACCCTAAACGCTACTAATGCCTCGCTGGATGAAAGCGAAGATGCGAGATCTGAAACTGACACAATCGTTGAGACTGAAAAAGAAATTATACCAAAAAACGTTACTGTTACTGATAAAACCCCGGAAGACATCCCCTCCTTTTCGGAATGGGCGCAAAAGCATTTGGAAGAAGCTGAGAGGAAAGAGCAGGTGAACTTTTCCGCCCCAGCCCCAGCTAGTAACCATACAAAGCAGGGTGTTGGCGCGAAGCTGCATTGGAAGAATTATGCGGCTGTAGAATGTGGAGCTAAAGTTATCCAGGCAAATCCCGAAGCTGAACATACGTGGGCTGTATTGGTGGGTTCGCGCGATGAATACATTCTGAATCCCTGCACCAGCCGGATTTGGTTCATTGTGGAGCTCTGCGAGGCCATCCAGTTGAAGAAGCTCGACTTGGCCAATTACGAGTTATTTTCTTCGTCCCCCAAGGATTTTACTGTATCAGTGAGCGATCGGTTTCCCACTCGGGATTGGTTCGTTGTCGGCCAGTTTACGGCCAACGATGAGCGAGGGGTGCAGAATTTCGAAGTCAACACAGAAACCTTCGGGAAATACGTGAAAGTCGAAGTTAAGACCCATTATGGGTCGGAGCACTACTGCCCACTGTCCCTGTTTCGGGCGTATGGAATGTCCGTATTCGAAGTGCTTCAGAATGATGATCCTGCCCATGAGCAGCCCCTTGAAGACGAGGACGATGATCTTTTGGACGACGGTGTGAAAATACCTTCAGGAAATTTGCTCAGTTCAGCTACAGACGCTGTACTTTCCATGGTGAAGAAGGCTGCTCAAGTGTTAGGGAATAAGGTTAATAGAACGAACGAAACTAGTCAAACGAGCAACGAAGCCAAAGCCCAATCGCCGCTAATGAAGTCCTGCAGCTCTCCTAGTCATTATGTGGTGTGCAACAACTGCTCCGACGTGCTGTTTGGGCGAGTGTTTGAGCTGCTGAGCTGTAGGCGCGAGTACATGCGAAACCTAGTCAATATTCCTTATATTAAGGCGGCATTGGAAGCATCCACAGTGTGCCAGAGCTTTGGCTTTGATTTTAGAGACAAAGCCGCAACTGTAAGTGAAAATTCAGCTTCATTGTGTGTAGAGTCGTTTTTCCCGCCCAGTTTCATGGGCGCGATGTGCAACATCCTGGCGATCGCGCACGATAAGATTTCGTACAATGTGAGCCATCAGTCAGCCACTGCCAAGAATAGTACTAGTGAGGGCTCCCCCAGTTCGGGAAGTGAACCCGATGGAGCCCAAGTAGTAGAGCCCGTCATAAACGACACTAACAGCGAACAGGAAGACTCTCAAGGGACCGATCCGCTAAACTTCGACGCTTCGGCAATCAACTCAAAGTCCGGATGTTCGACCGAAACCACATCCGCCTCGCAGATCAATCCATCAAAAGTATTACTCAAACAGCTGCCCTCTCATTCGGAAGTCGGCACAGCTGCAGCCAATGTGGAGCCGAGTGTAAGCGAAGAAAACTTGGATGTTAAAGCGGAAGATGGACTGCGAGCTCAGCCCATTGGGGCAGATGCGAGCGCGGAGGTTGTGGAGAATGAATCTGTCGACCATATTGAAAGCGTGGAGAAGCTGATCACGGAACTAAACACCGAAAGTAGCAGCCCGTCAGTGACGAGCACACCTACGACCGCCGGCAATTTGCAAGGGCATAAGGAATCGGTGTTTTTGAGACTGTCGAATAGAATCAAGGTAACTACACCAATATAGATAAGTTCTATATTGTTGAGGCGGATTCATTTTTTTACAAACTTCTTTTTGGGTATTTCGCCTCAAAAATTTTTGTCTTTAAAAAAGACAGAATTTCCTCACGTCTTTTATTACAGATTGATAAATAGTGCTCCTATTTCGCAATAAGAACGAATTATTATTTTTTGGTCAAAACGCTGCAACAAGAAGTAACTTCATTGAAATAAGTGTTCAACTTTCAAGAGATAACATTCTCAGGAGTAGCAAACACGTGATCCCCAAATTTCCCAATTTTTTTCAATATGTTCTAATAATGCGATAATAACTTTAAAATATTGATCCAAATAAGCTCAGGAAAAAAATTAAATTATTTGAGCAAATGTCCGTTTTTTTCGAATATCTCTGGAACTAACACGAATTTTGCAACTTTTAAATCACCATTTTGTTCAGCATCAAAATGCGCAACTTTTCCCTAATCTAACCGACGATCCGAACCGACTAAGCTCGAATCTAAACTGAAATCTCAAATGTTTCTACTTAACAGGTACCGAGACAAAAAGTCGTTTCTATAAGCGGAAAACGTTTCGATTTTCAATCCAATTTTCAAGAATTTTTCAAAATCGTGCCTGGTTTTTACAGGTCGAAGTTTACAGTTACTCAAAAGCGAGTGGAGCTGGAAATACATTTACTGGTGCATTTTAAGGCAAAGTGCGTTCATACGTCTAAGATGTTTCGATTTAGACTCATTCTCAGACGTACTTTTGAAAAGTTTTATAATAACCTTTTGATTTTTGAAGTTGCTCTTGCTGGCTTGCGACACAAGCCCTCAATTATCAGAGACTGTCGTCTTTTTCACTGAGTTAATTAACTGAATAACTAATTCTTTATTTTCAGGTCCTTGAAAGGAACATGTCGCTATCCGCTCAATACCTGGAAGAATTAAGCAAACGATATAAGAAGCAAATCGAAGAAATGCAAAGAGCACTGGATAAAACCGAACGAGATTTAGTGGAATCCACTGCAGCTGAAAGAGAACGTTACAAACGCTTGGACGATAAATTCGAAGCCTTAATGAACACGGTAGAGGCCCTAAAAGACGAAGAGAACAACTGGAAATCAATCGCGTTTTTCTTGGTTTTCTTTATCTGTTGTACATTTCTTGCTTGCTTTTTTAATCGGGTTGCATCACCCAAACCCGCCACGGATCCATCTGGCACGGCCGCTGAGATACAGCGGAGCCATTCTGTCGACGTCGTAACCAGAGTGGCGGCGAAGAAGAAAAAACGACGACCCAGCGATCAAGCGCTGAAGATTGTTGCTGGCCCGGGGGAACAGGAGCGAAAAAAACGAAAAAAGAAAACGTCGAATCCGGAGACATCGAAAATGGATACGACCGAAAACTCGTTTGATCCTCTGTGTGCCTCGAGCAAGATTTGGACCAAACCTAACACGGATTGGGTGGAAAGCAGAGGCCAAATAATAGAAGACATTCCATTTCCCTTAGAAGAGCCGGACAGTTGCACGTTGAAAGTTTCACCCTTACTATCGGAACCACCGACTGTAATAGAAGCACCAGGTTTTTTGAAAACAGCAGCCAATTTCAGGTTGGGGAGGGCCTCGTTGAAAAGTGGAAATTTGATTAATTTGGAAGTAAAAAACAGGAACCCCAGCCCAGTGCCGTCTGCCAATGGCAGCATTTCCAGCGGGGCCACCGAACCTTCGGCAAAGAAAGAAAAGAAGGGATTTCGGAAATTGCTGAAAAAGGTCTTTTGAAGTAGCTAATTTAAAAAGAAGGCCACTTTAATGGCAAGAAAATCATCACATCACCCTGCTGTTACAAAGACTATATTTGAAATCTAATTGGAGCTGTGATGCTAAAGTGCTCATATTGGCATGATTCATATTTTAGCAATTAATTAATTAAAAATTCATGATCAGAGTATCCCAACGTCTATTTGATTTGACTTGAAAATGATTACAGTTAAATCACATTGAGACATTGGATGGAAAAAGTATCGCTTGAAAGACTGATTGATATAAAATAGGATGCTGAAAGTTAGTTAGTTCGTTATTTTTTTAAGTTTTACTCCATTAATTAAATCATTTATTTTTCGCTGTTTCATTGTTTTTGTTTTGTATTGTTTCATCTAAATTTAGGGATGCATCTACTGTGATAAAAGTATGCTAAGTGATAGAAACTAGCTTATTATTTTCGCTTCGTTATAAATGAATATCTCCCATTATTGCACTCCTACATGTATTTCGCTTAATTAGATACTCCTCACAAAAAATCAGAGGAGTACTTTGTTTTAGTATTACGACTAGCTAGGTCCTTTAATAAAGCAGAATTCTCATTAACAAGTTTGTTTAAAGGCTCACATTCGAATCCAATTGACTCCTTGTATTTCCTCTGGGTCAGCTCGACCAAAACCAGTAGGAGAAATCCGATGTTTTTCAACACGAATAGGTTCTGCTCGGGTTGGAAAGTCAACGCTTGCTTGTTGTAGGCCACCTGGGCTTCAAACACGCTACAGAGCGAATCGTTGATGGGCTCCAGAAGCTCGGTGGTTTGCAAGTTCAGACAATTGTCGAGAAAGACCAGAAACAACTTCGTAAAGGCGATATTGCTGGAAGTCAGTTGGAGCCAGACGTCGCCACTCACATAGGAATCGAGTTTTAGGCCCATTTTTTCATGTTCTTGCAAACATCTGAAAATTGCATAAGAACTCACACATTTATGGGAGTATGCGGAAATGACTTGGAAGGTTTGAGTCTGGAGGTGGCAATGGAATTAACGAAAAGGGAAAATTGAGAAAGCCACAATGGAACCTGAAGAGTTTGTTCTTATGGAATAATAGCTAGAATCACTGAGTAAAAAGTGGCCGAAAACAACGCTTTTGCGAAAAGAACCATTAAGAAAAGTTGTCGCTAGTTAAAAATAAGCATATTGCTCACCACGCGTGCGAAAAACTGATGTCTAGAAAATTAATAAAATCTTGGTAAAACTCATGTAAAAGATAGACCTCAGATTGGTTCTATTCATTTTTTGCACCAGCATTTTTGCTTACATTCGAGGTTTAGTTTGCGAGAACTGGCAATTTTACGGGGCAGCTTTAAGTAAGTAGGAGGAGTCTTAGTAGGTAGGATAAACGACTGAAAAATCTAAAAATGAACTCACCTAGTTAAGGCCCCCTTTGTTTTGAAATTCATCGGAATCCACTTATCCTCATTGGCCCTCAATTTAATCGAGTCAATGAACTTGTCTCTGTGCTCGTTTAGGGCCGTATTGATGAATTTTCTTAATTGCCCATCCAGCTTGTAGCGGAAGTCGATTCCATATTCACACAGGCGTTCGCACTGCGCCCTTATCAACTGCACACATTCGGTGATCGTGGATAGTGTGGCTTTAGTGACAAACACTTGAGTCCAGAAATGATTGGTGATTATTGTAAGATGTCCATGCGCCCAAGCCACATAAGCCGATACGCAGTAAGGCAAGTCGGGGAAAGCTCGCAGAAACTCTTCAATCATGTAGCACATGTTTGTAAAAGTAGCACTGGTAAAGTAGCGAATGTAGGTGATTGTCGAGGTCTCCCGTTTCAGTTTCTTTGCCTGGTTTTTCAGCATGGTACTGCAGAGCTTGAGGAATAAGTCGCAGCATTGAGTGGACCGCCCCAAGTCATTGAGCAGCCTGACCGCAGTTCTCGTTGCTCGCAAGCCGCCTTGGAACGATTTTTTCGGATTAACTTCCAACTCGTTCATCAGAATGTCGATTAGGTTGTTCTGCTTCAGCTCCACTTTTTCCTGGATATTCAAAATCACTGCATCAGGAGCGGAGTGTTTGGCATTGAACTTGCATATGTAGTTTTGCGCCTTTCGCAGATAATTCACAGCGTCTTCAAATTGGCGCTGTGCCACGCAAACATCCAGTTCATCAGGAATGTCCAGCAGCCATTCAGGGTGCACTACAGCCACTTCTTCAGGCTTGCTTGCACTTAAATCCATGGAAACTGCCCTCACCGGTGAAGGTTTTTCCACAGTTTGGTCCTTTTTTTGTTGCTCGGTAGCCAGCCTTAATTTCTTCGCCTGGTCGATTTTATCCAACCACTCTTTCTGGAACAAAAAGCAAAGTCACTAAAACACTCAATAAAAGTGGCGGATGCCGGAAAATCTTTCAGGGGAGCGTGACTCATATCATGGTGCTTACAAGGTGGACCGTTATTCAACAAAAACAAGTGAAAAATCGAGTTTCTCTAAGAAAAACTTATGGTGAAACGAATTTTCCGACGAGAAACCAGCTGAAAAATAAATTTGCCCAAAACTTCGTAACCTCCAACAAAAACGACGATTTTGAGCTGAAAAGATACTTAGCACGTTTAGTTAGCAAGAAAGACACGTTTGTGTTGTTTGGACCAACTGTACGACAAAGTTAAGTTTCCGAAGAGAAACCAGCTGAAAAATAAATTTGCACAAAACTTCCTTAATTACGAAGTAAAGGAAAAAATACGGAAAGGACGAGAGCCTCACCTTACTAGCATTTGAAGAGCACTGAAATACTCTGGTGTCTGGAAATATTAACAGCTTGAAAGCATGCTTAATGTTTCCCAAATCACGAACATTCACCACTGCCAAACTGCTCAGTTCGTATAGACTTTCGAACGCATACCGCATCAACCCTCTACTATTTGAGTTCCTGTTCGTAACCATCAGACCATCATTGAACAAGTACATATGAACGAATTTGATCGCTGTGTTTTCAGTAGCGTCGATCTCCAGCAAATCGCCCTCAAAAATGAACACTCGATCATTCGCTTCGACTATCTCCTTGCAACCTTCCACTTTCTCCAGAATCGTTGCCAGTTTCAGCTTGTTCTCCTCTTCGATTTCGTGCTCATCGAGTTTCGGGTTTCTTTCGAAGTTAACTTGCGTGCGATCTTCGAGAATTGAGGTCGCCGAAAGGGCACTGAGTAGAGACTTTTGTTCAGAAAGCAAATGCGACAACTGGTACATTTCGCTTTCCAAGTGGGATATTTCTTTGCCCGTATCAATGAACTGCACGTAGTTTTGGTACACATTCTTCTTCAAACTGTTGTTGGTCTCGTCGGACAGGGCCTGGATTCTCTTTTTTAGGTTCTTCAGCTCAGAACCGCCCACATAGTTGTGGGAAATGGTTCGCACGTATTTTTCAGGCACAAACTCTGGAGCGCTTAGCAGATGAAAATTTGGCTCTTTCGGAACATCCATTGCGATACTTTTCCAATTTAAATAGCATTTATTATGATTAAATCACCAATGAATCAGTGTTTATTATTTGATTCAACTTCAGAAACAGCTGTGCGCAGGATGGCCAACTTCTCAAACGCGTATTACCTTTGAATATAAAACTAACTAGTTAGGTTTATTTATTTGTCATGGATCCAATGGCGGATGCAGAGGGGGGGGGGTCATGACCCCCCCCCATTCACCTCTCTATCCAACGATGCCAAAACGAATTCTTTGGCTCGAATGGTTCTTGAGAAACTTCGAAAAAAGCAGCGTCATGTTCAAGTGGATTTTGCAACTCAAAAAAAAACCACGCAAATCTAAAAACTTCTTGAATTCAAGTATTTTTTGAGAAAACTGCCAACATTTCCTTATCGATGGTTCACTTGCTAAAAAGGCCATTTATTTCTCTCTAGAATGACGTACAAATGAGCGTTCTTG